GTGCCAAGCTGGTGATTTCCATTACTCACTGGTGCAAAAATGTTTTTAAAAAATCGAGAAACCACTTCAGCTTTAGGATCCTATGCTGCATAGCATAGGAAAGTTCCATACCTTTAGGTTATTGGATTCCATACTGTTTTAGTCTAGAAGGATTTGAGCCAGAAATAGTCAGCCAAGAGTGTTCTGAATTACGTTAGTCTAGTCTCAGTTCACCAACGATTTAGGTTCAACTTAAATTTCACATTGAATCTAATATTAAACGGAAATTTAAAACATAACGCTTACACATAGAAACACAGAAAAAATTATGTCATTACCAATTTATCTTATAAATTTGAAAAATATTTTAAAAATTTAGTATACTTCAATGCAAAGATTAATATTTCATAGACGTCTTGGAAGACAAAATGTTTGAAGATTGTCTTCATGGGCTCATGACTTACTTGAATTGATCCTCTGTGTCCCCAGAGATGCACAGTGTCACATTCACACCTATTGAAAAGACTTGTTTGTAAGCAACTCTATCTAGCTTTTCCCGAGACAGCCTGTCTTTCTGTTTGATAGTTTCTTCCAAATGTATGTCACGTTTCTCACTTTTAACTTGTCTTTAAGATTCTATTCTAATTGGAGAGATACATATTTATATTCTATAAGCAAGATCAAGGCTGATTGACCTCATAATTTAGAAGTAATAATAAGACTTGTCTTCAAGACTGAAGATTAATGAAAATTGCAATATATCTTGATTCTTGGAAGGTCACAATACCGTTTTTATTTAATGGCAACCCAAAATGACAATTTAGAATGAGTTTATAAGTTTTTAGGAGATTTTAATAATTTCAGATTTCCATGACGTCATGGAAAATCAGGGGGCGCGTAACCCGTGTTATTATATATAAGTTTTAATGGTTTTATTCAATAATTTACACATAGAATTAGCGCGGGCCTATAAAAGTGCGGGACCCACTGCGACCGCATAGGTTGCAGTAGCCTAAGGCCGGCTCTGATCCATTGTATTAACTCATTATCTTGGACAAGAATACTTCGTTTATTGAGCATGATAGAAAATATAAGTATATAAATAGATAAATAGATAGATCTTAGATAGGTAGATGTTGATATTAAAAATATAGATAAATAGACACCTGTGTTGACCCTGTTCCGGAAATCTCTATTGACCCCTGTCTATTTTTTTTTATCTAGTTCACAATAAGTAGACACCCAAACACAGAGGTAAATAACTTGTAAAAGTGCATACATGTTTTACTAACATCTATTTCCTTCTTTAGCTGAGACCTATACAACTTAAACAGTGGTTCTCATACTGCTGGCTTGAATGTACAAATTATAATTCTTTCAAAGCACACTTTCAGTCGGTGAATACATGACTTATTGCTTGTTTCGTACGTTACTTTAGATTAGAAGATTATTCCATCCTAGTCCAAACCTCCCATAGAACGTCGGGGGATGGCAATGACCAGGGTTTGATCCACTGACCATCAAGACATCAGTCTAAATTGCATACCTCAAGAAAAGGTATTACTGTATTATTTTCTTTACTAATGATACATATGTTTTGATTTTAAGCATGCTAACCACTCAGTCCCGTAGGTTGAATGTATGCTCAAAGTTTCTGGAAGTCTAGTTTCCTTACAGACCCAGATACTGAGATGGGCTATACATGTACTAGACAGTGTGAAGGTTGGTACTAGACACTGTGAGGGTTGTTACTAGACAGTGTGGGGTTAGGTACTAGGCAGTGCGGAGCTTGGTGATAGGCAGTGTGGGGGTTGGTATACCGTACTAGGCAGTTTGGGGGTTGGTTCTATAGTATTTGAATGTAATTCTAGGTATTTGTGTAGCTGCCCTACTGTTTAGAGTTTTTTTTATATATCTTATTTTTGCTTTTCAGACGTTGGCAATTTCAAAGAGATTGTTCAAATCCTTAGATGTGAATATGAACAACTTCTAGTGCTTTGATATCAGAGAGATAAGTTAGAATAGGTTACTTTAACATCAAGTCTTCTGATTATTTTATATTTGTTGTCGCTACAGATAAAACAATTTGAATGTTGTTAGTAAGGGTTCCTATCAGTGTGAGAAACTTTGCACTGAAATCCAAATAAACAGCTAAAAGTAGGACAAAAGGCTTTGGCTATTTTTAAATTGTTTCTTTTAATTTTCAAATTCTAATTCAGTGTTTGTTTGTAAGAGGTTATTACCCGCCCCCCTTTCCAACTTTTAAAATTATTTTTTAGCTTGGGGTTATATTTTGATCCAATATTATCTGGAACCTCTGTAACGAGAGAAACGTGAAGGGTTGATGGACGAATTTAATATATCTTATATAACTTTCACTTAATAGAACAATAGACTATAAGGGTGTTCCCAAATTGTGTTCCGCGGAACCCTAGTGTTCCGCAATGTCTGAATAGGTGTTCCACGAACTGCTGGAATAATTAACTAGTAGGCCACCACATGAATTAATCTCTCTACAAAATAAGCAAAAGTGTTCTGCTAAATACTCAGAATGTGCAAAGAGCCCCGTTAGTAACATATTTGGGAACCACTGGCCTATAATAATAATAAAAACTATTTATTAGGCTGGTGATGTTCTATAATTTATTATTCAATAAACTTTCAATCAATTTTAGTTTTCAACGCGAGGCTCATATAATTTGATATTCTGACCTATTACTCTAAAGTACATACGCAGCAATTATCATTTCTTATAATTAAAATAATTTAGTTTTAGAAATTCCTACATTTTAAGTTTCTGATTTCTGGACCTTGTCTCTATTCAACTATAAAGCTGACCGGAAAAAGTGGATGGATCTGGTAACCCCGCATGTAGCTTTGAAGCAGAACTCACGGCGATAATCACGCACTGCGCCATATAGGGGAAAAACTCCGTAAAAAGGAAACCGTTGCGACTTCTGTTGTAACGATTACCAATTCTAGATCCTGCCTCCAAGCCATGGCTGGCTTGGGGGGAAAGTCACCTTTTGGTAGAAGAGGCATTAGGCACCGCAAATAACATCCGCCTATTTATTGGAGCTGTCATCTTTATGCAGTGGGTGCCCTCGCACTGCGGCGTGGGGGGTAACGAGGCGGCTGATGCTCTAGCACGACAAGGAGCACTGATCGTGCCCACTTTCGAAGCCCCAAGTACGTTTAACCAAGCTACGACATTAATCCGAAAGTGAGCACATGACAAGTGGTTGAAATCCTGGGATGGCTCCAACAAAGCCGTGGAGTTTGTCATCATTTGCGTCGCCAGGACCGCGACGATCCATGGCGGAGGCTAAAAAGGCCGGAAGAATCAATCATTGCGCAGTGTAGAACGGGGCACTGCCCTGTTGGTGCTTACTTTGCCCGGTTCCGGATAAAATTTTGTTGCCCGTTGCCGACACTGTGGAGAGTCGGTGGAAACAGTGGCGCATCTCTTGCAAGAGTTACCGCAGCTCCGCTTTGGGCGCTAAATATTGTTAAAACCATTTTCTCTATGTTAAATTGTAAAGCACATGTTTAGGGTACCGAGAATAATAAAGGAAAATAATAATGCTGATAATGTTGAATAACGAGTAGTTAAGTATCAGAAAGCTCCCCTTTCAGACCTTGCAATCTATAGGGCAGGTGATGTAAAGCTCTTCTGTTACTGTGGTCCACAGTTAACGAGGGTGTCATGTGGCCAGTAAAAACACTAACCGCCTTTTCTTTTTACTTTTCACTAAATAATGTTAGGTAGCCATTAGAGCTGGGTGGACTCAGAGGCGCTCTGAAGATCCTCAAATTTAAATATTTGTCTTCACCAGGATTCGAACTCTGGACCCCCGGTTTGGAAGCCAAGCGCTTTACCGCTCAGCCTGCTATATATTAACTATATAATAACTTACATTTCATGTATGACGTTATATAATGTCTCCATATAGTTCCTTTAATTTGTTATCTATCGATTTGAGCCTATCCGAAATATTGTCTCATATTTCAGATGTTCCTACTACTCATTAGTTCGTCATCAAGAAAACTGGGAACATGTTGATGGGAACTTTGATAATAATTCAACTGGAACTTGTAATGTCGTCACGTGCTGTGTTGCAATACCCGCTGCCCTCTGTTTAGTATTACGGTAATCTGCAAAGTAAAACAGCAATGCATTCTGGTGATCAATGATCATTTTGGTACTTCCACAAAACTTAGTTGTCATTTAAATGAAATAAATAAGTTATACATGTTAGCATTTATATAGCGCTACTTTCATGCTTATAGCAATCTCATTTGTGGACCAGTGGGGGAAGAAAGCTTTGCGTGCTGCCATTAAGCGCCCAGTAAGCACAGGTCGGGTGTCGAACCTCAAGCCCCCTTTATAGTTAGCCAAGTCAAGCCAAGTTCAAGCGTTCTTAGCCTCTCGACCATGCTCCCCACAGCGCTAAAAATGTTGGATATAAAAATGTTGTTATATTTTTAGAGTTATATATTTCTCTTATTAAATTAAAACGAAAAACCGTGGTCTGATGCAAAACTTTATAGCCTAAAGTTGTCAATATCTAATTTAATATAATGTATTTTAAAAATAGAAATAAGATCTCTGGTTTTATTTGATAACTACTAGATCTATATTATTAGTTCTTTTTCAAATACTTCTGAATAAAAAAAAATATAAAAAAATATGGTATTGGACTGCGTCAGATGTCACTGACCTATGTAGGGTACTTGACCATTAGGGATTTAGAATAGCTTTAAGATGATATGGTTAAATTAAAAGTAGGTGAATATTTTTTGTTCTTGTGTTATTTTTCCCTTTTCAGATTTATCTTCAACAAACTATTTACTGCTCTTTTTTTTTCCAGTCTCTACTACAGATTTAGAGTCTCTACTACTGATAGAAAGTCTCTACTACAGATTTAGAGTCTCTACTACAGATTTAGAGTCTCTACTACTGATAGAAAGTCGCTACTACAGATTTAGAGTCTCTACTACTGATAGAAACTCTCTACTACAGATTTAGAGTCTCTACTACTGATAAAAAGTCTCTACTACAGATTGAAAATCTCTTCTACAGATTTTTCCGGAGTATCTACATTGAAGGATAGTCACTTATGAAAATTCGTGTTAACTTTATGCCATTATTAAAACGTTTTATTAAAGCAGCTAGAGTCTATTTATAGTGACACTTCTCCAACCTGGATGAACTGGCGAATCCATTGACCTACTTACCTATTTATGCCATAGTGTATTGTGTGTATTTATCCCTAATCATCCTATATGTTGCTATATCTAGAAAAAAATTAATCCAAAATGAATTATTTTTCGACATACACACATTCATCATGACATTAAATATCTCATCAAATACATTCTGAAATGCACTCTAAAAAATCTGTAATTGAAACAAACCGAAAAAAAAATTAAACGATTATATACTTTTTTTATATGTATAAAAAATATACACAATTCCCATGTTTGGTATTAATTCGGAAATATAGATTGACAAAATGGTCAAAGGTTTAAATTCTTTCCTATTTTATAGCTGATTTGAACCTAACGGTTTTTTGCCAGAAGTATTAATACTTTGGAAAATTCTTGGGATTTTCCGACTTCCTATATTTCCCGAATAATAAAATGAACCACGTGGAAGGAAATTAAGTCTTTTCAATTATTATTTTGTTTGTTTATTAATCTTTGACAAACATAGTGAAACTATCCATTGATTCCATGACCTTTGAAAAAGATTAGTTTCAAATGTTCGAAACTGGGTTTAAATTCATTTCACAGTTGAACGCATCATTCAGTCGGAAATTAAACAGGTCACTGTGCGTGGGATGACTAGCTAATAGATAGACTAAGAAAAGTAGATTGACTTTTCTAAGATACTTTTGTTGACTTTGTGTTGTATTCATTTATTTATTTGAAGACTATTACATTAATTGTTCTGAACTTCTATTGAATCTTCATTTAGTCTTGAACATGTTTACCAACTACTAGATATCATATGAAGGGACGTAATGATTTTACTATTAACACTGTAATTTGAAGATTAAAAAATAATTTCTGTGATAGTTTCAACAGTTGTATTCTTGTATAATGTTAAATGCTCCAAATTCAAGCTAGTCATACGCTTATTACACAAGCTTGCATGTAGTCATAACACATGCTTTTAATGTACTTGTTACACACAATATTTTTGTGATCTATTCAAGTAAGCAATTCACAAGCTGTACGTTTAATTATTTCCCATGCTGTTAATGTTATTATTAAACATGTCCATGTACATGTACTCATTACAAAACTGCTCTTGCAATGACTCAAGCAGTACATCTTCATTAAGGGCTGTCCATTGCTTGCTCACTACATACGTCTGTTTGACAATAAGTTATTAATGTGTACAAATAAAGTTGAATTTGGCAATTCATTGGTATGTTTTTTTTTCGTTGAAGAATTACGTTCAAAACAAAATCGATTCAAATGGCTCACTTCTAATAAGTTGATCCATGACAAGACTTTGAGTATATTAGAGTATTTCAATATATTTTAGGGGGACACATTGTTTCAACAAGAATTCAGATACGACCTCATTCGACATTTTAAAAAAATTCGGTTAATAGTATAACCTGTATAACCGACACTTTCTTAAAGAAAAAAAAATCTCTATTATATTTTTTTTTATGCAACCCAGAATTCCCCACAAGATCGAAGGTTAAATTTTTTAACCTGGGAAAATACCAAAAGTTGTCATCTGATTGGCTATAAATGGGTCTATTTTTAGATAGAAATGAATATTTTTGGTCTTTAGGAGAATCCTAAAGAGTTATCACTAAATAAGTTTGTACTTTAAAACTAAAGAATCTAGCAGATGTGATATACAACATAGAACAAACATTTGAAGATAAACTGAAATAATATGCTTTCACTTGAATTAAAAACGTTTTATATGAATAATGCTGCATCAGCATGTTGGAAATGTCACGGAAATCCTAAGAATCGCATACTCAGTGTATTCCATGTTTTAATAAAGCCTTTTTCTGGAATCTTATACAGAATATTGTATATGCTTATTTAAGCTATTGTATATTCATTGTAAAATGTACAAGTACAAGTGTATATCTTGTTACATAAAAGTTCAAAGCCATAACTTGTGCAATGCAAATATTTCTGGTCAACTGTCTTGCGCTGCGGTAAGTATTTCTTTACGTTTCATTTTTTTTGGTAAATGAAGTAATGAAATAGATTTGAATTAATATTCATTAGTACTACCGGTACTTATCTTGTGATGAGAGACGTTGGGGTTTTTTTTAAATTCGTTTTTTATTGTTATTAGAGCAGTGGTGTGTTAGATTAAAGTAGTGGTGTGTTTAACTAGAGCAGTGGTGTGTTAGATTAAAGTAGTGGTGTGTTTAACTAGAGCAGTGGTGTGTTAGATTAAAGTAGTGGTGTGTTTAACTAGAGCAGTGGTGTGTTAGATTAAAGTAGTGGTGTGTTTAACTAGAGCAGTGGTGTGTTAGATTAAAGTAGTGGTGTGTTTAACTAGAGCAGTGGTGTGTTAGATTAAAGTAGTGGTGTGTTTAACTAGAGCAGTGGTGTGTTAGATTAAAGTAGTGGTGTGTTTAACTAGAGCAGTGGTGTGTTAGATTAAAGTAGTGGTGTGTTTAACTAGAGCAGTGGTGTGTTAGATTAAAGTAGTGGTGTGTTTAACTAGAGCAGTGGTGTGTTAGATTAAAGTAGTGGTGTGTTTAACTAGAGCAGTGGTGTGTTAGATTAAAGTAGTGGTGTGTTTAACTAGAGCAGTGGTGTGTTAGTCTAGAGCAGTCATTCGGGATCAAAAAAATTTCCATCGCACATTTCACGGGTAGGCATGACTAAAAAAAAAAGTCCAACAAACTGGAGTTTTTGCAGTTGCATTCTGGGCAGAAATCTCATGGGGCCGGACAGCACCACGTTACGTGCAGAGTATGTCCGCGGTATGTCCGCGGATCGTAATTTGGGCAACACGGGACTAAATATTTTATATATTTGATGAGAAACCGTGGATCTAGTACCCGTAGCTTAAGAATCTTTTATTCGTAAATCAAATCAAGCATGCCGCCATGTTTGTTTCATAATGCCGTTTATATGTTGCTGTTTTTAAACAGTTATACATTCTTTATCAAAGAAACATGTTGGCAATCATAAAAAAAGTATTTAAAAAAGAAGTAAAGATCGTTCAACTTTTCCTGGTAGATGCTACATTCTCTAAACGTACAAATGTCCAAGGTCATGGTACCAATCCATCAGAGAAATAGTGAGGAGCCTAACGTAGGTAGAGACACATTTTTCAAACTCTTCGCGGACCGGATGTGGCCTACGGGCCGTATTTCTGGCATCACTGGTTTAGTGAGACAGTTCGTTACATTCAGCATGATCAAGCGCATGGATTAGAAAACTTTTATTTTTTTAATATATTATAGATTTTTTGTTCAATAGCTCTATTCAAGTCACTCCTTTGTGGAACCCTGGGTGGGTGGGCGGACAGCTGATCTCAAAAACGGCTCTAACGATTTTCTTAGAAATTTAACTGTTAAAGTATATCGCTGAGAAAAAAATGACCAGCTCGTAAGCCACACGGTGAAAACTCTAGTTTGACCATTATAATTTTTCAAAGAAAAAAAAATATATTTGGCTGGAGCTAGGTCCAGAGCCAACATGGTTTAGTCAGCACTTCTACGGTAAATGCGATCACTGAGTAAATTTAAAGTTGCTTTAATTTTATTGAAATTTTTAAGCTTTGCTTATATATTTAGCGTAAATCTTATACAGATTATATCTAGATTCTAGATCTAGAAGTACATCAAGACTAGATCTTAAGAGTTCTAAATCAGAACTCTAAATCTAAAGTTAGATCTAGAAGTATATATAAAATTAATGAACATGCCAATAAATAATTGCACATATGTGCCTTCCTCGCTGGCCGCATCAGAAAATTCGTACTTTCTAGCAGCAGACGGCGTCAAGGGTTCGATACTCGCATAGCCGAATTGAACCAAAAAAATTGTTTAACTAATGTTTTTTATTATTTCTTTATATTTGAAGTTTAATAATGGAGGTATTGTCTTTTTTTTAAAATAGATTTTTAAAAATTGTTTTTCTTGGTTTTTTTTTCAATAATTAATATTTCATGAAATTCATACATTTTCACGGCGTTGGTGATGCTTCTTACAAAGGTTTCTCAACCCTCAAGGCTCGTGTCGCTCTTCTGATCGTTTACGGTACCTGGAAGATACTTCGGTTATGAAAAGAAAATCTCTTCAGTAGCTAATTCAAAAACAAAGACTATATTTATTTTTAAAAAGTTAGTCGAGGTTATTATTTGCTGCATAAAATAGTTCAATGCATTAATCTACATTATCTACATCAATAAACTACTTTGCTTGCAAGCCTGCTTAAGAATGCAACGTTAAGAGACAAAAACAAATGCCACTTAGAAATGACTGTTGTGTCACTTTCTCATGATTTAATTACTATTTCCTAAGGAAACATGAATAATCGTAGTCATCGTCCAAAACTTTCCTCTTTTTTAAAATAAATTCTAGTGTTGAAAGTGCAGTCTCGTACATGAAGGAAGTCATTCTCAGTTGAGTCTGTGTTGATCCTCGAAGCTACGTTTTCAATGAATGTCCGACCAGATTTTGTCTTAAGTAACTAACCGGTTTGTTAGGTTCAATTTGTCTTAAGAGACGAATTGATTGACTTCTTAAGTCTTAAAATCGAAAGGCAACGGGGTTTGTTATCAGAGTATCTTCTACTAAATGCAATGCCTTTCTAAGAAAATGAGTTATACATTTGTCAGGCCTTCACCCATGCACGTGTCTAAGTTTTATGTCTCAGCCACACGACCTGGCCAGGTGCTGGACTTATGCAAGCTGTGTTCCGCAGAACCCTAGTGTTCCACGAGGCCTGAATATATGTTACACAAACTACTGGAATAATTAACTAGTAGGCCACCACGTGAATTAATCTCCATGTAAAAATAAGCAAAATGTGCTTCTAAATACTCAGAATGTGGGAAGCGTTCCGTTCAGGAGAAAGTTTGGGAAACACTGTCATTGGCTATTAGAGAAGTATGGCATTTAGGAGTATTTTAAAGTCAATCGGAGCTTGTATCCTCATTGACAGAGAGTGTATGAAAGTCTTTGCACTTTGTGATACAATTTATACAGCTTGGTAGAAGAAAACAAAAAGTTATTCATTATTAATAACGAAGGGATGTACAGGGGTTAAATCTAAACTCTCCGTATATCTTGAAAATCTTTGAATCTCAGAAATTGTTTGAGCGTTACAATAGAAATGTAAAACTTATTCTACCAAACGATGCCAATAGTTTGATTCGGTAGATTTAAGAAGGTCAACCTGGTTTAGTTGGTCATGTCAGTAAACTGTGACTACGGTGATTACGCTTCAAATCGATCAGAATTATTTAACATAATAAGTGTCACATGAAACGCTATCCTGCACGCATGACCAGAGTTTTATACTCGTTATATAACTCGTCATAAGAGCTGATACCGAAACTCCATTATCGCCTGGGACTTTGTCTACAATGTCACACATGTGTACCAGATGTGTACAATGTGCTAGAGTGTGCTAACTCAGTGAATATCTGCTAAATATAGGAGCTAATTTTGAAAACATTTTGGCCACGCCCCGTTCGTGTCACAGTGACGATCTAAATGCGTTTTAAGGCCCGCCCAAATTTTTAAAGGTTATAATTTGCAATGTCATTTTGCGTCGGTAACTAGTTGTTTTTTTTTGGCGCGCATCCATGCACACATGAATACACAATGACAGTGATACTCTATCACGTATACATGTCATGTGGAAACACAACCACACATACGTATAGACGCAAACATCTGACATTCACATACACAACACATAGTTCAAACTGACACCATAGAAGCCTCTTCTCTTTCATGATCACAATATTTTTTTTCTTATTTACGTTTGTGGAGTTAATTACCCCCTCCCAGCACACACAAAAAGCCATAATATAGCTAGAGTCTTGCTTACTCGCTCTTAAATGTATAGCCAGTCTAGCTTTAGATCTAAAAAAGAGCTTCTCTAAGTTTTAAATTATTTCATAACTATCCAAACAGCTTTCAATGTATGGCTAAGTAATTTACAGGGATCCTTAAAGAGAACAGCTTAGCCATCCTTAACATGTCGCTAAACTAGCCGTGGATGTTTTAGTCCAAGCAGTGCTAAAAGGAACAAAGACTTAAGAAGTATGGGGAGTAAGTAATTCGTCACGTGACACGGTGCTACCGGCCACTTGCTACTTGAGCCCATAGAGCGCAACAAATCAAAAAATGCGTCCAGTGGACAACAGCAGTGCTGCGCCAATGACATGATTATTGAAAGTCCACAATGTTGGG